GATAGCTACCTGTTCACCCAGTCGTCGCTAATCATAACCGGTGACTTTAACATCCACATGGATAATTCATCGAACGTGTACTCTTCTAAGTTTGCTGATCTGTTATCAGCCAGTTTTTCACATCAAAGGTGTTAACGATTCGGAACAGTCTGATGCTCACTCCAGTGTCTCCTCGGACTGTTTTACTGCAACCACCTCCATCGTCGACATTGCCACTTCTCAAGTCAACCTCTCCTGAGGAAATTAGGACACTCCTCGCAAAAGCACCAACAAAATCATGCGAGTTAGATCCCATACCCACGTCACTTCTAAAGCAATGTGATGAAGCCATCATACCTGCCATTGCAAACATTGTTAATCAAAGTCTGCAATGTGGTGTTGCACCTTCATCAATGAAATGTGCTCTTGTACGACCACTCCTAAAGAAGCCGAATCTGGACGTGGACAATCTGAGCAACTATCGCCCCGTGTCAAATCTTACGTACATCTCCAAACTGCTTGAACGTGTTGCTTTCTCCAGACTTTCAGTGTTTTCTCCGTACGAACAACCTTCTGGATAACCGCCAGTCTGCTTATCGCCGGCATCACAGCGTTGAGACACTTCTTGCTCGCTTGTCCAACCACATTCTTCAGCAGTTTGACAGGGGCAGAGTTACTGCCACCGTGCTGTTAGATTTGTCATCTGCCTTTGACACAGTAGATCATAACATTCTCATAAATCGATTATCTGCTCTCGGTGTCACAGGCACAGCTCTACAATGTTCCAATCGTATCTCACTGATCGTCATCAATCAGTGTGCATCAACAACACAAAATCTTCTCCGACTCTTCTTGCTTGTGGTGTCCCGGAGGGGTCTGTCGGTGGTCCTTTGCTGTTCTCTATCTACACCAGTCCAATCGGCAAAATAATCCAGAGACATGGCATCCAGTATCATTGTTATGCAGATAACTTACAACTCTACATGTCCTTTGATCCGGTACAATCCAGTGCATCATCTGCCATCGCCAACCTTGAAGCATGTATTGATGAGATAAGAACATGGACAACTGCCAATACTCTGAAGCTGAATGATGCAAAATCAGACTACATTTTATTTGGCTCCAAGCATAATCTCAATAAAATCAACATCTCATCAATACGGATCGGTTCTGCTGACATCACCCCTTCACTCACATGTCGCAACCTTGGAGTGATTTTTGATTCCCAGCTGACATTCAACGACCATATCTCCAGCATATCCAAGTCAGTCAGATTTCATCTACGCAATCTTGGATTTATTCGCCGATATTTGAACCGTACAGCGACTGAACAATTTGTACATGCATTGATTTCATCTCGTCTGGATTTCTGCAATTCACTCCTCTACAACATTCCGCAATATCAACTAAACAGGCTCCAGCGACTTCAGAACGCTGCAGCTAGAATAGTTACGCTGACCAAGTGCTCCGAACATATCAGCCCAGTGCTGAAGTCTCTTCATTGGTTGCCCGTATGTGATCGGATATCATTCAAGATTTTGCTGCTGGCTTCCAATACACTTAGTGGACTGGCACCAGAGTACCTCATTGATGCCTTACCGAGATACTTACCCGCACGGAACCTGCGCTCTTCGGAATTGATCAAACTTGTTGTCCCCCGCACCCATCGTTCATGAGGTACTCGTGCATTCCAACACTCTGCAGCATCCCTTTGGAACAATCTTCCTTTACACATAAGTTCAGCAGACTCAACTAACCAGTTCAAGAGAGCACTTAAGACTCATTTCTTTGCTAAGTAATACTTGTGACATTAGAATTGTCATTGATTTTGGGATCAGACTAAATCTGCTTGTCTGTTATGATCATTTTATTCGTTAGATGTGTCCAGCTGTTTTTATTGGCAAATTGTATATTTTATACAATATATCAATTGTATGTGTGTTGGTATAATGCTTATATATGTGTATGTATTTTGTTTTTTTGTTTTAGATGCTTTAGATGTATATGATTAGTTTCTTCCCATATGATTCCTTACAGTAAAATTTTCAGTTTGTCTTTGTTTTTAAAGGGGGTGCATTAATATATTTTTTCCTAAGTAATATCTGTCATATGTATTTGGTTTCATCACTAGCATTTTGCTTGTCCTGATATATTTTCAATTCTTTCGGTCAATGTCTCTATGGGTTGGTAATTTGTATGTGTATAATATTTGTATGTGTATATAATGTGTGTATTTTTTGGATACTTTTATATTTTTTGGATTGTGCGTATGTTAAGTTTTTCTATTTTACTATTTTTATCTTTGACATTTTTATTCTTTGTATCGACTTTTTCAAACATGTTAACGTTACAGTATTACTCTCTTTTTTTATATATATAATGCTATAGTATTAGTTTATTTTTTAAACTTGTAAAGCGCCTTGAGCGTTTTTTTAGACGGATTTTGGCGCTATATAAATGTTCTCTATTATTATTATTATTGGGAAAACAGCACCCCCCCCCCTTGATACGCCACTGCTTCGTGCATAATCGAAATGTCATTTTGATAAAGCACTATTCAATATAGAAGATCTCTAAACAAAATATAAAAGAGGCAGTTAAAACCTCATGCGTTAATGGTAACTCAAAGGGTGTTTTGTTTTGTTATTTTTATTTAGTTGCAATGGATGCATAGAAGGTGTACTCAGGCCTATCCAGTGGCATAGGCAGAGGGAGGGGGGTGACCGCCCCCCCCCCCCCCCAGGAGTTCGAAAGATATTTATCAGTAAGTATTTCCATGAAAGGTTCTAGAGTTCTGACATCAACGTACAAAAAAATAAAAATCCGTTCAAAAACATTACAATGCGCCTTAAAAATCGGCATATATTTTCCAGTATAGCATAATATTCAGTTTTGAAGAGCGCCCCCCATTTGGAAGATGGGTACCAGCCTCCCTCCTCCCAAGTGTCTACATTTCGGCGCGGATGTGCGGTCCCTCCTATCTATATAGGCGTATTTGTTTGACTGTAGTCGTCATAGGCCTACTTTGTCATAATCCAGATGGCCCGCACATTGTTCCAGTTCCTGAAACGACAAATGAGCGATGCGATCTGTTATTAATAAAGTCTTCACTCTGTCAAAATCGATAATATCAAACTGTCAGTATCTCCGCTCAATATCAGATGGTTATGAGGAGTTTGTGACCGGCTGATCCGAAGGTGGCTGGTAAATGTGCCACTTTGCATCCTCCGTCTACATTTAGGCCATCAGCTGCGGTCTAAAAGATTGAGTCACTGGTATCAAATGATCGAAAGGAGCAATGCTAAAAGCGATTTTTGGCAAGGTATGCACATCTAGAGTTGAAAAATGAGAGTGTGAGCAGTTTTTGGGGTGTTATCATTTTTACATTTTTTTTTTCAAAATGGCCGCCAATATGCTTGTTACCGGATTAATTATAGGTGGTAACAAGCATAGTTTGGCCACTATTTTTTTTTTCAAAAAAGGATAGCACCCTAAAAGGTGCCACCCTTCAGTGCTATCACATATTTTTCAATTACAGGGGTGCATACCTTGCCAGAAATCACAATGAGCAATATTCCCCTCATTTGATACCAACTAAACCCCCAGGCTGATGACATAATTGCAATTTTACAAATGTTACTTATTTATCTTTTTTTATTTTTTATTTTTTAAGGAACTGAGGAATCCAGCACTTCACAACCTTCAGCGTCTACAAGCCATGACCCGTTCCCATTTCAACAATTATCATCGGAGAATTGTTGCCTCTCAATGAAAATTGGTCCACTTAATCCGAACCTGATCATTTGAACACAGCGTACGTTGATAGTCTGTACATTTTTCGGACGATTTGCCAAGATGGAACAGACTTACCAAAGAGAAGTGACTTTGTTTTGAGGTTCTATCTCGTAGGCGTTACAGCTCACATGGATGAATTCGCCGGTGTGATCAGGCCCTCCCCCGATGCGGAACGTGACTCGGTCTCCGATGCTAACGGAGCTGCTGCATCCATTATGCATTTCCGTCCAGCCACCGTTAGTACTCAGCTTGCCCTCGATCTTGGCGTATCCATCTTGATTAAAGAAAAACAATCGTCTGATTTCTATTAAGCTTACGCCTACATATTAAGCTTACGCCTGCATATCAGAACTGGGTTCTCTAGCGTGAATTACACAACACACACTTTACGTCCCATCCGACTCCGAGGGAAGAAGCAAAAAAGTGTCTTGCTCAAGAGCATAAGCACCATGTTCCCAAGGTCAGGATTCGTACCCATGAACCACGGCAGTCGAGTCGAACACCGGTTTACTTCTGCATTGTAAAGCTTCGGAGATTCCTTTTTGGACATCAATTACTTATTGAGCTATGACCCTGAAACTGGCCAATCAGAATCAGGCTTTCAAGCTTCTCATTCAACGCTATCCAATCATTTTCCTTCCCGTTCGGTTCTATTTCTTCAATTTTTTCGTTTATGCTAAATTGCTTTAAGATGTGCATGATGGCCAATTAAAAAGCAAAATAGCGTTAGACTGGTTTGTGCACACAATACATTAACTTTAATTAGTCTACCCATAATTCAATGCGAATTTGACCATGGGGATGTTATATTTCAAACAATTTGCCCGCAGGGCGAAGGGAAGTTTTTACTGGACCATTTGGGTGAATTTCAACGACGTCTGAAAGTTTCTGAAAGTAGAAGACGCTGTACTGTGCAAAATGTCGAGGTAGGGCAAAATACTAATTTCTGAGAAGAAAAAGTTAGCCACAAATGTCCCCTTGCCCACCTGTGCAAGTTTCCTACTAAATACTAAGTCAAATTATTTCACAGTTATTATATCATAATTTCGAAGGGGATAATAGTGTGATGGAGCAGTTATGATCGTGTGGTTTAAAACTGCTTAGGGGCCTACCCGCCGATGATGACCCTCTGATCTCTTTGGCTCAGTTATCGGCGACCAGGCCCCTACCCAGTTTTAAACTAAACGATTAAATTTACTTCACCATACTATAATTATCTTATAAACATGCATATTACGCTGAATACCTCAACTAACGTTACCTTGGTAGTCATGGGACCATTCGACTCCACTTGGGGTTCTGCAGTTAGCCAGGTTGGCGATGACATCAGCGTGTGGGAGCGGCAGGTTGTCGGTTTCCGTACAAGCAGAGTTCAAGCACTGCTCGAAGGAGTTAAATTGCCAAGAACTATCCCTCAGGATCCACGAGTCTTCGGTGTTGATGGTGGTGACGTTATCACTCACTGCAAACCCAGTGATCTCGGTGTCCAGCCCCATACATGTGATCAGCTCTCCGGTCCAAGCGAAGTTGTAGCCAGAACATTGTCTCGGTCCAGTCTTCTGATACACCCTTCAGTCGAAAAAAAGTATGGGTTTTTATCATAACTTATCAACAGCCAATTACTTGTACATGATTTTTTTAGAACCAATTGTTGTTCAGCGACAAATTGCCACGGCTGAATCTTACACCTTGCATCCGTGGTATAAAAGTTAAATATGGAAAATGGCTGAAGTTTGTGTCACTTACCTCATCCATCCTCCGCCATTTGAATGTTGATCACAATCTGGAATTAAACACAAAACATTAGCCACCTCCACCGAAAGAAAGATTAGATTTCTTTCGATTTTAGAAGCTAAATTAAAGAAAGTATTAGAAACCGCACGTGTTTCTTGTAAATTCTCAATTCTACGAACAGAATACGTCTTTCAAACCTACCATGAATGTTCCATCAATTATAAAGAAGCATTGTGACTTTCACCTTAAAATAGATGTGCTTCAATTCCTCGCAATATAAAAGTTATTCCCTTTGGAATGAGTTTCAGAATAGAAAAAAAACCACCGATGTTTAGATATTGAAATATGTCTTCACAAATTTCGATTAATTAGCTGCCTGACAATAAACTTACAGACAGTCAGCTGTTTGTTCCCGGCGCATCGAGGTTGGATCTTGTAGTGCCCGCTGCCATGAGATCGTCCAGACTCCATGTAGGCTTTGCAAGACGCTGGCAATTCTAAGGTAGAAAGGAAAAGGAAAGTTTGTAGAAAGCGTCTGCTTCAGTGGATCGAATTCTGAATTCCTTCGTTTACAGTCCGTCGCATTTGACGATTTGATCATCTTCGAAGTTGTTCCATTTATTTAAGTAATTCACACCTACATATCCATTGAACCAGATTTGGAATTTGGAATCAAGGTAATTTTTTCTTTTTGTTTTCAAGCATTCAATTACTAAAAATGTCATCAATTGAACGTAGATTGCAACAGCTGTACATGAGCCACCTCTATATACCGAAAGAAAGTTTTTAAATATTTTGCGATTTCAGAAAGTAAATTAAACAGATTTGGCACAGCACACGTTTCTTATAAATTCTTAATTCGACGAATGGAATACGTGCCAGACGTACTTTGAGTATTGCATCAATTTTAAAGAAACATTCCCGGAGTTTCACCTCGAAAAATAGGGGTTTTTCCATTTGCTGTTTTCCTAGAAATATAAATGTTATTTTAGTTTGTATAAGACGTTTCGATATTGAATTAAGCCCAGCGCACACCTTCCCGATTTTAGCGGTTCACCGGATCACCCCATCACCGGTACGGTTTTTCATCGTTACGGTTAGACTGCAACGTTACCCGCACACATGCCCGATTCCGTTCTATAATCGGTCGCATGATGATCAGTCACATGATGACCAGTCATTTGATGACAAAATGGCAGCAGTCAATTTTGAATCATGTGACTTCCATCGTGAATCTGAATTATCTGATTGGTAAACACACCTATCGCGTCCGGTGAAATCGAAGTGCTGCACGCACACCTTAGAAATGGTGAACAATATATAAAACCTATTATTATGATCAAAGATTTTGCCTACTTATACACCATCCAGGAAGAAGCATTTTAAGCTGAAAAAAAATCATTTTAAATCATATATAAAACAAATGCATCTCTTATCTATGTTAATCCAAACAATAGTTTAGACTCCAATTTAATTTCCAATATTGAATAACGAGACAGAACATAAATGTGTTACAAAATTCAAAATACAAATTTTTCAAAATTGTTCATAAGCCCAAATATATGATGAAGCAAGACAATTACAAAGTTGTGTTTATTCGTAGATCAATTATAATTATCACGTACCAAAATATTTAGTATATAAAATACAACCTCCCAAATTTGAGCATTGGCGATGACATTGAAGAAATCGAAGAAAACAGAAGAACATATCTTTTGCACTGCATTAGTTTCTATTAGTTTTATTAAGATACCCAAGTTTTGGTCACACACATTTTAGTGCAATGCCTTTTCGCAGACATCCACATGAATTCCCATAAACTATGGATAAAACAATGTATCTGTCAATGTTCATGTGCATCGTTACATGTACATGCAGGTGCAATGGTACGCAGATTTTTCTAAAAACCCATTCCATTTACTATTAAATGCCATAATATTACAGTGTTTTAATTTACTTTGAATATGCCTTATCATCTTTTTAGGTAGCAACATATAAAAGATGTAGCATGAGAAGCCGACATTTGCATTCAACGTTACTCACCAGCTGAGCAGTTCAGAAATGTTCCGATCTCCATTGGATCGCTGCTTCGCAAGAAGGTGTCATAGTAGGTCACATTGAAGGGTCTGCTGGGTGCTCGGGTGTTGAGTGAACCCACGTGTACCTCCTTGCACTGACAGGGGTTCTTTACGGGGATCACCCAGCGGTATCTACCGCTGAAGGGGTCTGGCTCCTGGCCCATGTAGCAGGACATTGCTAAGTCAAAAACAGACATTACAAATTACATGTGTACATAATTGGTATGCCTACATAATTGGTATAAACATACAAAACCACGGTAAAATTCATTAAAGAGATTACTACATCAGTTTTCAATGGAGGCCAAGACATTATAAGTTTCTTTTAAACATCGCCGGGAGAAATCAACAATTAAGAAAGATCTTTTATCCATTGCAGACCATGCAGACAAATTTGACCCTCCGTGAATGCGAAACGGAGATTGAGCATGTTAATGGAATTGGAAAAAAATGACAAAACAGATTTTCCGACCGTATTACGCTTTTCAACAAAAAGAGAAGCATTTATGAATGGGAATAGAGAGTTGTGACTCGGTCTTAACGGCCGTTTAACACCTTGTAGGGTCGTGGCCGTGAGGCTTGCAGGTCACAGGTCACACAAAATATTATCCAATCAGAGCTTAAATTCATCAGCGGGGGTACGAGCGAATCTGCTGCAAACTACAATCGGTCCTCAGGAGCGGATCCAGAGGTGGGGGATTTGAAACTCCCCCGCCCCGAACTAGCGCTTTGACAATTTTGTCCATGTAAATACAATGCAAATGATGTGAATCCCCCCCCCCCCCGCTATATACACCCTAAAAATTATAGTGGTAATAATATCCGCATGTGCACAAAAGTCGGACAGAGCCAGCTGTGTTACGGGGGTATTTGTACACTATTTTATAATTATAATGTTAATGATCATCGGATTGGAATAGCACCACCATTGAAATATGGTACGAGCCCCTCCCCCTACTGATTTAAGGCCAAGTGTCCGGAGAAAAAAACCTGTCTACATTTTAGATGACCCCCCCCCCCGCCAAAAATCCTGGATCCGCGCCAGGTCCTGTAACTGTTTCCAGAATGTATGCCAGATTATTCCAAATTTTAACGTTACTCTGATAAAATGTCCTACAATCGATACATATTTACAAGTTAATCTTGGTATTAAACTCGTTTTCATCTCCGTTTAGAAAATTGACTAGTGTCGCGGATCGATCAATTCAATATGCGTTACAATGCGTAATCGGCCTTACTTTCTTACCTGTTGTTCCATCTAAGAGCAAGGCAGTACACATCAATAAGACCGAAACTCCAAATTGTATGGTCAGCATTTTGGTCCGGGTGCACGTAATCTCGACACACAAGGATACTGTACTGCTTTTGGCACCAAAAAGGGCGCCAAAATCATAAAGACTGTTTATTGCACACCATTAATTACTGCTCTCAGCGCGTGAACTGATCATTGAGTGGTCATTTAAACGACCAAGATATGCGCATATGAATGCTTTGTAGGCCTACGTGTGGACTGCCTATTTGTGTCTTTTGAGGTAAAATTCCAGTGAATTTTATCCACGAGGGCATACAATTCTATTGAGTGAAGGTAATGAATCGTTATCAGAATTGGAATGATCGCCATGACGACGAAGCACGCCGCAAACCAGTGTAAAATTGCTTCATGCTATGCTGGCAATATCCAATTTGATTTTGTTGACATGGACCTGTGCCCACTGATCTTGCATTGTGGTCTACCCTCGCAACAAGTCTATTTTATGCACTCGACCTTGGTATCTAGGTCATATCACAATTCCAAAGCGTATTGAAGCTCAACAAAAAAGTCATATAGTGTAAAATTGGCCATTGTCACTTGTAGGCAGGCCAATTCATGGTCTTAATATTGTCAACGAATATAAAATCGACGACGCCTCTGCAGCTGCCTCTTTTTTGTCTGGAGAAATTGACGGCACACAATGAGCACATTTGTACGCGTGTAATTAATGCCCCTTCTGGGCGCGAGCCTAAAATGCATTTTCCACAAAACAATAGTTTGAAACACCATCAGGAAAAAACTAGAATAAAACGTGCACACAGCTTTACCTTTGAAACATTTTTAAAATAAGCTTTCGTATTTCCAAAGTAAAAAAAAGGAATCCCACAAATGGGAAACAGACACCTTAGAGTACAGGGTGAGTAAAAAAAAAAACCAAATGTTAGGACCATTGTTTTAGGGAAGATCTTCATATAGCACTTTGAAAATCGATGATGTGAAAGTGCAATTCCTAAGCATTCTTTTAGTACAAGAATTATTCAAATCCCTCATGTACTTTTCAAGTTACGGAATACACAACCACCGCCTTAATGTTCTGTCCACGGATCAGAAAAAAGGTTCAGTGTTCTTTCAGTAAAAAGAAAAGAAATCACATAGGGTTGTGTGTGAATTGTTTTCGTTTTGCTGAAAGAACGCACACCTTCCGTGGACAGAACCTTAAAACGGTGGTTGAGTTTAAAATTCTGTAACTTGAAAAGTACATGAGTAATTTAAATGATTGTACTTAAAGATAGTTTATGAATTGGGCTTTCATATCCTAGATTTTGAAATTGCTACATGCAGATCTTCAATACAACAATAGTCCCGACATTTGGGTTTCGTTTTTTTTAAACTCACCCTGTGTATATAAAAATTCTTTCAATCTAGATTGTCTTTTCACTTTAATTTCCGACTAAGAGAGGAAGCTTGTACAAAACCAGGCATAAACTTATTCCTGTTGTTCCTCATTATTTGCCTTTTGAGGTATATGAATACGAACAATCGTTTGTTAAAAAAAACCTTTCATTAATTGTGATAGATTGTAACAAATATGTACAAAATATTAAAATCAAAAAGATTGCGGTCTTCGTGCAAAAATCAAGCAAAGAAGTATCGAGGAACAACATTTTGCTGCTCGAAAACTTCCCTTTTGGGGTGCTATAGGCATATAGGATCATTTGCTTTTCGTGCATTTTTTTTCGTTTTCAAAAATAACATCACTCAAAACTCAAAGAAGACTGACTGTTCAAAACATGTGTAGGCCTAAGTTTAGCTCCATACATTTTTCGGGAAAAAACACCGAGTGAAAATAATGCACAACCTTTTGATTACAAAACACGATTTCGTCAATCAAACACTTTCTTCCAAAAATCACTCAACTGATTGATCGTTTGAAATCAACTACATTTCTTTATTTTTTCAATGTAAGATTTTCGATATCGAAGTAAGAGTTTTTAAAAACAATCCGGTAGAAGGTAGCTTTTTGGATAAATGCAAATTATCATATATGCCATTAAAGCGATTATGAAACTAACAACACAATTTGGCCATTCAATATATATTTTATTACATCTGAAGTTTAAAGAGCTTTCGCCCGAAATACCTCTTTGACACTAAAACACTTTACCACAAATGCAAAAAGAAGGGCGACACGTAAGGCCCCCCGCCCCCCAAAAAGGCTCCGGTTTCTGGTATGCGCGCGCGTCGCCGTAGCCATGCGCGTCGGCAAAATGACTTTTTTTTTCAATGTAAGATGATGTCTCAAAACCGACAAACTCACTGGTTCGACTGGAATCCTGCTGCTGCACAATTTTAACGTGTTTTTAGATGGGGTTACGATCGAGTATAAGCTTTATGTGGCCCCTCTGGGCTCCCATATATTTTGCACTAAATTTAATCGGGCACCATTTGCAGACGGTGTTGTAAGTTTGTGATTGTGCGTCTGGAAGCCAGACTGACGGTGCGATGGTCGTGTATCTGGAACCTGTCAACGCTTTTTAATTAGCTCAATATACTTCTCAAGCCTTATGGCCTTACTGAGGTCACCTCAAGCTGCACTCTGAAGGATATTTTGAGAGTTTTAAGGGGATCGAATCGTCATCAGCAACATCAGTCGACATTTGAAGAGAAAAAAAAGTTGGGTTAAAAAAAAAACCGCGTCGCCGCACCACACATTTGGGGCAGGCTCCATACCAGAAACTGGAGACTTTTGGGGGGGGGGGCCTAATGGCTGAGTTCCAGTGGATTCACAAAATGCTTACCCATATCTATCCCAGCGGTGACCGCTCTATATATACAGACACACGCATGTGTGTTTTACTATACTCAAGAGGACCTGATTCTTTCCTTCTTTTGTTCCCTTTTGTTAATACTCCCATAAAAAAAATTACTGAGGACCTGGGCCCAGGTCCTCGGGCCCATTGAAATGGCAGACACCCCATTTTTCCAAGTCCTCTGTCTGAATGGATAACCAACCCTGCATGTGCTCCGACAACCCGCACATAAAATTGTGTTAGCCCGATTAGACTGGTGCGTTAGGGCCATACATTTGTAGAGGTGTGTCTGAACAATTACATAGGGGTGTCGATACAAAGGTTTTAGAAGTCGCAACATATAGGGGTGTCGGAACATAGAGTTGTCGGAACATAGGTTGAGCAGTCGAAACACTGGAGTGTCGGAACATAGGTGTGTTTGAGACATAGGTGTGTTACCATAAATTCCAGCAATACAAAATCATTGCTCTTTGACGCGCCCAACGCATAATGTTTACTTACAAATTGTAATTGTAACTAAGCATTAAAACTGTCATCTTGATAAAAAGGCACTTTATAATACAGTTCCGACAATCTAAACAAAGCCGTCTCTATAATAATAAAACAAGCTGTTACATATAAGCCAAGTGTAAAGACGAAATGGCCGTGCTCTTCAAAAAGAATTCTTCTTAATTTTGCAACTTGTGAGGCTACGTTTTATTTAATTAAAAAAGCCACTTTTGGGCGTTCGCAACCCTCTCAAAAGAGGCTTAAATTTTTAGTTGTTTTTTTTTGCGCACAAACTGTCTCCGTCCTGAATGTTTATTGGTTCTCCGTCCTTTCAGCGTTAAATGGATAGAGGGCGGGAACATGTCTACCCATCAACGACTGAATTATTTTCGGGTTGCAAATAATTCGAAACTCACACAGTATGCATATTTTGCCGTTTGCCATACATTTAGTATTTGTTATCAAAGATCGAGGAAAACACTAGGCATCATTATTATTAAAACCCCAAACCATTGCCTGTAATCGCAAATAGTTACGCATGCATGACGCTTTCGATGTTTTGAGAGCTATTTGAGGTTGTATAGCGTCAAGACCAAGTGATACATTGTAATATCTATTATCTTAT